GTGGGCTCCAGGGCATGGTGGGTGGGCAGCATGTGCGTCAAGTGCTGCCACCAGGCAGGACACAGGTTGCTCCTGTAGGAAGTGCACGGTCATTTCCAGGATGTCCGCCTTCTAGCTTCTAGTACCTGGGACTCTCCCTGTCCAGCATCGGCAGGATGAGCCCCTTGAGCTGCCTCAGGCTCTCATTGATGCACTTCTCCAGCAGCAGGTCCAGGCTGACACCAGGGAGACCCACGTGGAGCAGAAATCGAGACCCCAAGGAGCTCCCCTGAGTACGCTGCCTGAGCCAGTACCAGTGGGCAAGAAAGAGGCTTCTTGAATGGCTAGATGAGGAGCTTGGCAAATCCTCTCCCCAAAAAGCAATTACAAAAGTGGACAAAAATGTCAAAACAACCAGTTAAAGACTTGAAATTGGCCAAAGTCATACAACAAATTGAGAAGTGCTTATTCAAGAAAGTCTACTGAATCTCAATGAGAATGGTGAGAATCTGTTTTGTTTTAACCTGGAGCTTTTCCTGTCGCTCCCCCTCCTCCAGCTCTGAGACACAGATGTTACACCAGAAATGAGCAGACCAAAAGACAAGCATCTCTTCTGCAGGAGAGGCCTTACTTTGTTTAGAGCAAAGTAAGGAATACCATGCTAAGGGCATTATCAAAGACAGCGATTTGAGCGGCTAACATTCAGGAAAGGCCAAGAGCACAGCTAGCTGATCTCTAAATACTGATTGGGGCAAGCAATAAACCAACATGTCAGTTATAAATTCAACGAGACCCAGGGAGTGAAACAGACAAGAAAAGCTGTGATGAGTTGCTACTTATCACCAGAGGTCTTGAAGACTGTGCACACACGACTAAAGGACACAAAGAGATATTCCAACAAAGAGGATGTTAGGGATAGTGGGAAGAGGGCGAGTCCACAGTGACTATAAAGGGTAGCAGATAATCACAGTGAAAGAATATTTCTGTATTGTGGTAGAGCAGTGGTTCTCAACCTTATGGCCCTTTAAATACAGTTCCTCATGTTGTGAGCCAACCATAAAATTATTTTTATTGCTACTTCATAACTGTAATGTTGCCGTTATGAATCGTCATGTAAATATCTGATATGCAGGATGGTCTTAGGTGACCCCTGTGAAAGGGTCGTTCAACCGCCAAAGGGGTCGAGACCCACAGGTTGAGAACCACTGTGGTAGAGGATACTTGAATCTACACATGTGATAAATAGCAGAGAACTATATACATACATTGCACTGATGTCAGTTTCCTTTGACATCATACTAAGTAACATAACATTTAACTATTGCAGCAAACTTGGTGAAAGGTATACTGAACGCTTCTGTGTGATTTTTTAAAATTCTAGTGAATATGCAATTGTTTTTAAAATTTTATTTTTTAATATATTTTTACTAGGGGCCCAGTGCACAAATTTGTGCACCTTGAAAGGAACTGTGGGCTGTGAGGCTGCGGTGGGCACAGGGGCAGGTCTCGGCCCATCCTCCACACCCTCCCACCACAGCCCTCCCCGATCCCGTCTGCCGGCAGCCCCACTCCCGCCACCGCTCCCACACAGCACAGAGCAATCGGGGCTGGTGCCAGCAGCGGGTGCAAGTGGTGCCTGCTGCCCTGATTATCCCTCAGGAGCAGGGGGAGGTGGAAAAGACGGTGCTGAGTGATCAGGACCAGCGCTGGGCACTGGCAGCGGGTGTGCGTGGTGACTCTGGTGCCAACTACAGGTGTGAGCAGCGCCGCCCCCAGAAGTGGGTGCAAGCTGTGACTCCAGTTCTGGCAGCAGGTGCAAGCAGGGCCATCACTGGCAGCAGGTACGAGAGGCAGCTGCCGGCCCGATCGCGCCCCTCAGGAGCAGGGGGAGGTGGAGAAGCCCTGAGGGGCAATCGAGGCTGGCAGCCACCACTCGCACCTGCTAACAGCGCTGAGCGATTGGGGCCAGCGCTGGTGTGAGTGCCTGGCAGGACTATTGCACACAGGAGCATAGAATTTTCAGTAACCACCAGAGGCTCGCCCCAATGACAGCAAAGGGTGTCCCACCTTGGTCTGGTACCTCTGCTCACCTGCTCCACCATCCCGCCACGGCCAATGCCCACCATGTTCCATGCTCTGCTGCCTGCTGCTGACACCCACCATGCTCTGTGTGCATCCCCTGGTGGTCAGTGAACATCAGAGCGACTGCTTGTTTGGTTGTTCCATTCAATCTATTTGCATATTAGGGTTTTATATAGAGAGATTATTGATAGTATTACAGATATCTCCCAACCCCTTTGCCCCCACATTGAGGTATGTCAGTCTGTTCCATGCTTCCCTGGTTCAGGTCTTATTTTGTTGGTCCATTCATTTTGTTCATTAGATTCCACAAATAAGTGAGATCATGTGATCTTTGTCTTCCTCAGTTTGGTTTATTTCACTTAGCATAATATTTTTCAGGTCTAATAACATTTTATTAAAATTTAATGAAGGCAAAATACATTCCTAGAGAACCAGAGAATTTTTTGCTGGGTAACCTGGTTTACAAAAAATATTAAAAGAAGTTTTAGAATTTTATTTTTGTTTTTTGGGGGGTTTTTTTTAGAATTTTATTTTTAAAACTTTATTCTTTTCAGGCCGTGTTGTTAGGTACATACAGATCCTGGATCATAATTTTCTGATGCACTGTTCATGTTTGTTGTAATGACATACCTTTATTAATTAGAGCCATCCATTATTAATAGATATTTCGGTTATTTCTAATGTTTTGCTGTTATACAAAATGCTGCCATGCATGTTCTGGTAATACTTTGACACATAATGGTGCTAATATGTTTTATTGAGTTGTACACTTGAAACCTGTATGATTTTGTGAACCAATCTCACCTCAATAAATTAAATTTTAAAAAAACATACATACAGGCCATCCAAAAGCTGGAATGCTATTGTCATATGTCATAATATCAACATGATATGTCAACAATTATCCTGTGGTCTTGAAAGAAAGTAAATGTGGTCAAATATTAATAACTGGTGAGTCTAAATGAAGGTTGTATGGGTGTTCACTGCCAATTTTTCTGTAGGTTTGAAATGTAAAAATTGTTCCTGTGAAAAAGGATATTAACATTTATTATCTTTATGTAACAGGGAAAACAGAGTTCTGGTGAGCTGGAGATGGGTCTAAGTCTATTAACTTGCATTTCACAAAATTTTTGCTTTAAAAAGATTTATTCTCTTTTAATCCTCACCCGAGGATATTTTTTCCATTGCTTTTTACAGAGAGTAGAAGGCAAGAAGGCAGGAAGGAAGGGAGGGAGGGAGAGAGAAATGTCTATATGAGAGAGACACATGGGTTGGCTGCCTCCCTCACAAGCCTTGACTAGGGGCCCAGGATTGAATCTGTAACCCAGCTACGTGCCCTTGACCGGGAATCAAACCCACCACCCTTCAGTGCACAGGCCAACGCTCTAACCACTGGGCACACTGGCCAGGGCAACAAGTTTTACTTTTTAAGACCATGTTTCCAAGTTTATTTTTACATTTCAAACCTACAGTATCTGTTTCAATCACTCTAAATATAATTTAAATTATATGTGGCATGAAAAGATATACCCTCAAAATGTTTAAATCTCAATGTTTCTTTACAATCATTTTGTTCTAAGGGCAAAGAAAATCTTGACTTGCTCTAGACCCTACAGGCAGGAATAGCATGTGGGGAATCCCTGCCTCTGGATTCTCCTCCAGGCTCAGGCCTGGACTTGCTGGGTTAGATGCTATTATTTAAAAATCAAACTTGGGCCGAAACTGGTTTGGCTCAGTGGATAGAGTGTCGGCCTGCGGAATGAAAGGTCCCAGGTTCGATTCCGGTCAAGGGCATGTACCTGGGTTGCGGGCACATCCCCAGTGGGAGATGTGCAGGAGGCAGCTGATCGATGTCTCTCTCTCATCGATGTTTCTAACTCTCTATCTCTCTCCCTTCCTTTCTGTAAAAAATCAATAAAATATATTTTAAAAAAAATCGAACTTGGGAAATAAATTCATTCAGTAACTTGAATGCAAAAAAATTAATGAAAAGCTTACATATATAACAAATATACAGAAACTATTTCTAAATATAAGATAGCCAATCTTGGACAGAGGACTTCTGCAACCCTCTATTTGATGCTTCTATTAAATGAGGTGATTAAACAGTGTGTTGTCAATTTCTGCTTGAACCCCAGTTAAGCACTGGGAGCCACAGAGCTGGAGTTATCAAGGGTGAATTTTTGAAAAACTATCTCCGTTTTAAACTTTTTAAATGCTCACATTCATTCCCATTACTGAGAGTCAAAGCCAAACTCTCCGTGTAAAAAAAGAAAAATCCAGGGCGATAGATCACAGGGTTGTACTCCCCTTTTACAGATCAGAACCATAATCCATTCTTGCACTCCTGCTTCCAAGGCTCTGGCTTTTCTTTTTCTTTCTTTCCTTCTTTTTTTTTTTTTTTTTTTTTTTGGTGTATTTTGGGGGACTGGGGATGGGGGATATTGTGATTGATATCACATTCTTTAACCATGAGCAGACATTACTTGGGTTGGCTAGTGGGTGGAATATTTCAATTCACGTTGTTTCTAAAAAGTGATGCTCAACAAGTTTGTTCTGAGGTTGTCAGATTTCATAATTAGTCAATTTTCAATTATCCACGTAAATAAAAAAGGCTGTCAGTACAGACAACAGAAAAATGACAGATCCTCCCACTGTGGTTAACCACCCAGCAGAGTTGCAAGGCTCTGGCTTTTAGACACAAAATGCTTTTTACTCTCTACGTCTACTGTGCGTCCCGGCGGCTCCAGAACCCGCCAAATCCCACTAAGGCCCGCCCCCAGCTACGCAACGGTCCCAAGAGGCTCCGCGCGTGCGCAGTCCGGGTTCCCACGCTCGGCCACTTCCGCAATAAAAAGCTGTCCCTTCTCCGTCGCTCCTTTTTCTTCCGTTTCGGACCGCCCCTCCCCACCTGGCTATTCGGTTGGCCCGCGCCCTCTTCATACGTCATTTAAACGCGCCACCCGGAAGCCATGGTTCTTACCAACCTCTCTTATTGCCGGAGGCTCTAAGGTGAGGGCTGCGTTTGGGTATCCCTGGGTGGCGGGCCCCCGAGTTGGAAGGGGAAGAAGGCGGACGCCTCCCCCCACCCCCCCGCGCCCAGCGTTAGCTGGACGTACTCACTCCCGACGTTGAGAGGGTGCAGATGGACTGTGCCTGAGGACACACTGAGTGTTCAACGTGGTCTTCCCCCTCCCCATACCTCAGGAGCCCATCATGGCGACGCCCCCTAAGCGGCGGGCCCTGGACGCCACGGGGGAGAAAGTGCTGCGCTATGAAGCCTTCATCTCTGATGTGCTGCAGCGGGACCTGCAGTGAGTGACGGGGGGGCGGGGCGTAGGGAACTTGCCACGTGGCGAGCAGGGCGGTAGGAGTCAGGGTCTAGCCTTCTGATTGGTGGGCAAGGTTTTTGGAGCCCGGCCCTCCGCGCCATTCAAGAGGGGAGGAGGGGCGACGGTTGGGGTGCTACTTGACTGGGACTTGGCGCCTTAATAGAGGATGTGTCTGCGCACACGCGGCCTTCGATGTTACTGAACAGTTAAGGGGTGGATTTCCTAGGCCAGAGTTCTCAGGTTTGAAACCAGTTTGGGCCATTTAGCCATCAGTGCGAACACGTGCCTCTTCTGGCCCTTATGGTCCTCAGTTTTCTCATCTGTGAAATGGGGAAGTTGATGGATCCTTCCATTTTACTCTTGTCCCATCATGTTCCATCAATGGTTTTGAGTTCTGGTAGAGGATTTAATATGGATACTAGAGGTTCAATGAGTATGAAAAATTATTATTACTATCATCAATCTGAGCAGGAAATAGTGTGTTCAGAACTAGTATTAAGAACATCCTAGCCCCACCGGTGTGGTTCAGTGGTTGAGTGTGGACCTATGAACTGGAGGTCACAATTTTCAATTCCCCCTCATGGCACATGCCCGGGTTGCGGGCTCAATCCCCACTAGGGGGCATCCGGAAGACAGCCAATCAATGACTCTCATCATTGATGTTTCTATCTCTCTCTCCCTCTCCTGCCCTCCCTGAAATCAATAAATAGTTGTTGTTTTTTAAGAGCATCCTAAAAAGGATGGAGGATTTTTCTAGGGTGAGAATAAGACATTCTGATTGGAGGGAGGCATTGAGAGTAATATAATAATACTAATAAATAATAGCTAACACCTATATGGAGCTTACTCTCTGACAGGCACTATTCTAAGTACTTTATAGTAAACACTCATTTAATCCATCTAATGACTCTATGGGGTAATACTTGCCATCCCTGTTTTATAGATGGGGAAATTGAATCTCAAAGAGGTTATTTACTTACCAAAGGCAAACAGCTAGTGAAATGAGAGCCTGGATTCAAACCCAAGCAATCTGACCCAGAGTCCAAATCTTAACTTCTGCACTAAAGCCCCTCTTTAGGGCACGGTGACTCGAGGGTCTCAGAGGGTCATGATACGAGGTATTCCAAGGACAGGGCTTCCTGTTGGTCACCATTTTACTCTTGTCCCATCATGTCCCATCAGAAAGGTACTGGATCATCGTGACAAGGTATATGAGCAGCTGTCCAAATACCTTCAACTGAGAAATGTCATTGAGCGTCTCCAGGTAAAGATGCCAAGGTTGGGTACCTTCTTTTGTGGGCAAGGGAGGGGCATGGGAGGAGATAACCCAGACCAAAACCTGTCATGTGGCCTAAAAGTTGACCACTAACCCCTACCTCTTTTCTCTGGCCCCACAGGAAGCTAAACACTCAGAGTTATATATGCAGGTGGATTTGGGCTGTAATTTCTTCGTTGACACAGTTGTGTGAGTGTCTTCCTGCCCCTTTAAGCCCACAGGGTTCAGCTTTCCCCTTCCTTCGTTCAATAAAATTTTTTTTGAGTATTTGCTGTGTACCAGACACTGTGCTAGGTGCTGGAGATGTGGCAGTGAATAAAATAGGACAA